CCATGCTGGTGACTGCCTACTTCGCCCTCGTCCTACTCCTGGCCTCCTGCCTGGGGCTGGAGCTGTCAAGATGCCAGGCTAAGCCCCCTGGAAGGGTCTGTAGCAATCCATCCTTTCTGCGGTTTCAACTGGACTTCTACCAAGTCTATTTCCTGGCCCTGGCGGCCGACTGGCTCCAGGCTCCCTACCTCTATAAACTCTATCAGCATTACCACTTCTTGGAGGGTCAGATCGCCATCTTCTACGTCTGTGGCCTTGCCTCCACCGTCCTCTTTGGGCTAGTAGCCTCCTCTCTCGTGGATTGGCTGGGCCGCAAGAAGTCATGTGTCCTCTTCTCTCTCACATACTCTCTGTGCTGCCTCACCAAACTTTCTCGGGACTACTTTGTGCTGCTGGTGGGCCGAGCGCTTGGTGGACTGTCCACGGCCCTACTCTTCTCGGCCTTTGAGGCCTGGTATGTGCACGAACACGTGGAGCGGCATGACTTTCCGAGGGAGTGGATCCCCACCACCTTTGCCCGGGTTGCCTTCTGGAACCACGTGCTGGCTATCGCGGCAGGTGTGGCCGCTGAAGCTGTGGCCAGCTGGATGGGGCTGGGGCCCGTGGCACCTTTTGTGGCTGCCATCCCCCTCCTGGCTCTGGCTGGGACCTTGGCCCTCCGGAACTGGGGCGAGAACTATGACCGGCAGCGCGCCTTGTCCAGGACCTGTGCCGGGGGCCTGCGTTGCCTCCTGTCGGACCGCCGTGTGCTGTTACTGGGCACCATCCAGGCCCTGTTTGAGAGTGTCATCTTCATCTTTATCTTCCTCTGGACACCCGTGCTGTTCCCACACGGGGCCCCTCTGGGCATCGTCTTCTCCAGCTTCATGGCAGCGAGCCTGCTGGGCTCTTCCCTCTACCGCATTGCCACCTCCAAGAGGTACCACCTTCAGCCCATGCACCTCCTCTCGCTGGCTGTCCTCCTCGTGGCCTTCTCGCTCTTCATGCTGGCTTTCTCCACCAGCCCAGGCCAGGAGAGCCCCGTGGAGTCCTTCATCGCCTTCCTGCTGATCGAGTTGGCCTGTGGGCTGTACTTCCCCAGCATGAGCTTTCTGCGAAGGAAGGTGATCCCCGAGACAGAGCAGGCCGGAGTTCTCAACTGGTTCCGGGTGCCGCTGCACCTTCTGGCCTGCCTGGGCCTCCTGGTCCTTCATGACAGTGACCGCAAAACGGGGACGCGGAACATGTTCGGCATCTGCTCCGCCGTCATGGTGACGGCGCTGCTGGCGGTGGTGGGACTCTTCACAGTGGTGCGGCACGATGCCGAACTGCGGGTGCCCTCCCCCACGGAGGAGCCCCATGCCCCTGAGCTCTAACCCTAGCTGGTCCAGGCCCTGGCGCTTTGGAATAGACCCTTGGATCCTGCCTTGCCAGGAGGGTTGTAAGGATCTCTCCGGGACTTGACTTTGTGATTCTCGGCCCCCAGTCTGTCCTGGGGTCCCTCCTGCCAGTCCTTTGGGGTGGAAAGGACATCGGGGTGATGGACTGCAAAGAAGGTGCCAACAGCTGCCTCTGTGTCGCCCCTTCCCCCGACCACTTTACAATAAACTGTTTGAACTGCTCCGTGATTTGATTTACTCGTCTTGACCTGGACCCACATCCCAGTAGCTGCTGACGAGTCGTCAGCTGGAGGTGTTGAGACTAGACGGCATTGATGGAGTTAGTGCTAACTTCCCCGGGATCCTCTCCAGGTGACACTGAGAGCTGAGGAATAGCCTCCAAGCACAGCGGGGTGGGAAGGACCTCAGGCTGTTAGGTCCTCCGTATCCCCTTACTGCTCGGACGGGTGCCCTCCTGCAAAAGCCCTGCTCCTCAGCCAGGGTGAGAGGACCTCTGGACCACTTGGGGTACATGCCCAGGATGCCTACAGAGCAAAGGTACCAGGGGCCTCGGCTGCTGCTCTGTCCGATCCAGGGGCAAACCTGGGACCCTTTCTGTAGGAACCAGCTCAGAGCCCCGCACAGGCACGCGGCCTGTCTTCTGCCTGTCTTCTGCCTCTGGCAACGCCTGCACCATCTGTCCAGCATCTGGGCCCACCAGGGCCCGTGTCCCTGCATGAAGCCTGAGTGAGGAGCTGCCAAGAGAAGAGAGCAGTGAA